GAGTGGGGAGCCCTTTGTGTTTTCTGCAGGCACTGCTGTAGCTGGTGTGCCTGGAACAGGACTTCCCAGGAGGCCCTCCTTCCCCAGGGCAGCCACATGTCTCCTCACCTGAAAAGGTGAGGCATGCCAGCAGTCTGTCAGTTCTCTCCACCTCACCTGTGAAGCTGGCTTGCCTCTGCATCACAAGCAGCTCTCCCCATAGAGCAAATGTGCAAGGTGCTTGTTCCCTCACTGAATCTGCATTCCATTAAGGCCTTCTTGGTTTCCCAATCAGGTCTGCAGTCATCCTAACTTCATTTATGTTTTATTCAACACAGTCTCTTTTCTACTTTCAAATCACAAACAGCTGACACCGCGGTTGCAGCAGATGACTTTATGGGCAGACCTAAGCTCCTTACCTCTCTTCTACTTCACTTGCAAATGGGCCCCCTGAGGAGCCTCTCCTCCCAGGGCATCTTCTCTTTTGTGCTTCCTCCCAGGGGAACCTGCTCCTTGACTATTTCCTCCTCTGAGTCTGAGAAAATGTCCATCCAGAGATCCTTTCTCAGCCATGCATGTGTTAATGTGTTCTCTCATTTGTTGGCAAACATGAGTCCCTGTTAAAGGAGGGCCTGGCCTGGGAAAGTGAAGATGTAGCGGCCTCTCAGGACTGCCCCCAAGGCCCCTACTGCCCACTCTGGTCCTGGCATGACCTGTTGCTTCTCTGCCACTATGAATGTAAAGCCCAGTGCTTGAGTCCTGCAGTTCTGGCTGGATAGAGAAACTGGGGAGAGCCAGTTAGCCCAGAATAGTAAGTCATTGACCCACAGCCCACCTGGAGGAGACAGCAGTGAGGGTTTGCTGGGACAGGACCCTGGGAGTGCAATCACAGGTGTCGCTGTCAACCAGGCTCTTGCCTTATTAGCTGGGTAAGCTTAGTCAAGTCTAACCTCTTTCAGGCATGGTTTTCCACAGGCAAAATGGAAAACAATAATGGTTCCTAAAACTAGTAGTACTGTAAGGAATTGAAAGAAGTGGTTGTAAACTTGCCTAACATTGTATAAATAATAAGCGAATTTCCCCTAGTTTTGGCTTTCCTTCCTTCCCTCCCTCCCTCCCTCACTCATCCTCCTTCTTTCCCTCCTTCCTTCCTCATTCCCTTTCTTCAGTCCTCTTTTTTCATCATTCTTTCCTTCCTTCTTTCTTTTCTCTTTCTTCTTCCCTCCTTCCCTCTCTTTCTTCCTCCCTTCCTTTCCTTCCTCCCTCTCTTCTTACTCTTTCCCTTCCTTCCTCTCTTCCTCAATTCTTTTTCACCTGTCCTCACTCCATTCTTCCCTTTTCTCTCTTTTACTCTTCCTTCATTCTTCTTCTTTCCCTCTCCCTCCATTCCCTCTACCTCCCTCCATTCCCCCTCTAACTCCCTCCCATTCGTCATTCCCTCATTCTCTTTCTTTACTTCCCCCCATTCTTGCTCCCTCTCTTTCCTCTTTCCTTCCTTCCTCTCTCCCTTCTTCCCTCCCTTCCTCTTCTACTATCCCTCCCTCTGAATCACTTTCCTTTCCTTTCTCCTCTCGCTCTCTCCCTCCTTCTTTCCTTCCCTCATTCTATTGCTGCTTCCTTCCCTCCTTTTCTCCTTCTCTCCTCACTTGGTCCTATTAGCTCTAAGCATAGAAGGATGACTAAAGCGTAGCCACTGCCCTTTAATAAGCTGCCATTTCAAAGGTGGGTACAAATTATCTGGAGCTATGAAAAGGTTGACTGTTATGAGGGTTGTACAAGAGACATAAACCATGCTCTGGGGAGAAAACAAAGGTAAGATTAATTCTACCAAAAGGGACAGGGAAGGTGACTGGCCTAGAATCCTGCCTGGAATCCACTTGCTCTGCATTGCTCAGGATTGGCCCTGCAGCCAAGCTCAGACTCTTTAGACTGGCATCTAAATAAGACTACCTCAGCAGATGAACTTAACTCTTGCACACAGGAAGTAAATGGAAGCAACAAACTCAGTTAAAACAGGGCATGGAGGCAGAAATGTGCTGGATTCCTAGAGTGCTTTGGGCTTCATCTTCATTCAGAGAACCTCTCCTTTTCCTTTTAAAGATGAGTAAACAAAGAGCCTGTAACAATGAGTGACTTGATCAAGGTTGCAAAACTGGCCCCTGGTGGAACTTGGATGACACCGTGTCACCTCACTCCCTGACCAGAGGTCTTTCTGCAGCTGCTTTGCACTCTGCAGACTGAAATTTAAAAAAAAAAAAAAAAAAAAAAAAAAAAAAAACTTTAATATGATCAAATTGCCATATTTTAGTTTTGGTTTGCTTAGAAAAAAGTTGAAAAAAATTTTTTTAATTAAGGTTATTACATCCATGTATCTTTCTGTATGTGCTTTTAAAGCCCTTAATGTGGCATAAAGTTACAAGGCTTAGATTCCTAGGTCTAAAAGGGACATCAAGTCATGCTAAATCTTAAATATTGACAGCAATCAAAGCCTCATCTTCAGAGCCCAAAGAAGATGTCAATCAAAATAAACTGCACTCCTTAGACACAAGGCAAGAAATTAAAGCTGTGCAACTCCCCACGGCCCAGGGACTATCACAAAAGAGGTGGGCATGTAAGATTGTAAGGGTCAATTCTGAAAGATAAAATAAGTTCAGTTTCTCTATAACTTAATTATTTATTTCAAAGGCACACTGATACAAGACCAGCATATGGGCCCCTGTGTGGGATTATCAAGGTTTTTTGGAAGCACTAAGCAAGTCCTTAATAAAGGTTATAAAAGTCTTATGAAAACTGTATCTTATGGTAAAGATTAAAATGTTATATATTGTTTACAAAACTTTGAAAAACAAATTTAACTGGCTTGTTGCTATTCTTATTAGGACTTACTGTTTGGAAAATAAAGTCTCTTTCAAAGAATAAAAGTTTTTACTTTTTAAACAAAAATCTTTGAGTTATCACTTTGGTTAAAAAAATGATTTGTTTTACAATGACCTGTGATACTATTTTGTAATATCAAGTGTTTAAAACCATTGATAGTTGACAACATTTCCAACATCAAATTATAAATTATGTCTTTTCTGACCTAATTAATCCTTTAAAATGTTAGGTTCCCTAAAATCCAAATCATAACATAATTTGGCTTATTTGGTACAAAAATTGTACAGGAAGCCTTGTCAAATATGAAATGGTGTTTGGTTTTCTTTGATCTTTATTTGTACAAATATCTTATTGGTATCTGTTCCTAAATTATGGGAAACTCCTATAATTCTGATATAACAGCATACATTATCAGTAATTATAATAATTATTATGTGCCATAAAGTTAACAAATTTCCTTGTCATTTGTGTCTTTGACTATGGCTGCCCTAAAACTTTTGTCATCCATGGACAATTGTTGTCTTGTTTTGGTCCTCCTTAGAATACAGTTTTATAATCAACTGTAAAACTCTAACAGATGCTCTTAAATACAAGTTTCTGATAACTTTGCAGATTGTGACATCAGAATAGAGGAAAAACTTTGAGGACTCATGGAAAGCTAAAATGTTCATGAGTGTCCAGCAGAACAGAAATTAACTGCATGGACTGAACTAATCATTTTGACTTTTTACTTAAAATATTTGCTGATTCTTTGTTTTACTTCTCAGTGTCTAAAAACTTTTCTTTTGAGCCATGGACATCTCTTAATAATTCAGTATAGTCCTATGAAAAAAAATTTGGAGCATATTTTTTCTCTCTACCTGATTTCTCCAGAATGTGGAAATGATTTGTGAGTATTTTTAACTTATAGCAATACAGTTATTTGTATAATTGCAGTAAGAATCTGTTTGCATTTGTAACAGGACACCATTGGAGAAACTGGTTATTTTACTAAGGTTTTGACCAGAATGGTGTGCTTTTCTTTAAGAAATCAAACTTGACTATTGGAGCCAATAAAGCCCTTGGAAAATCTGGCCTTATATTTTGTGTACACAGTACTGGGTTTTTAACCTGTGATAAATAAAGAATGTCACTTTTCTGACAGACCCAGATGCCCCAGAATTAGAACTTCAAGAGAAGAGGAAATTCACCCAACTCTTAGATATGAAACAAATCCATGGCTTGGCTCAGCTTTAAAAAAGTCTTATCTGAGATTCCTCCTGTGGAACAAGTTTCATCAAAGCCAATTTAAAAGCCTATGGGGAAAAAATATATTCTTGATGTACTGTATACAAATAATTAGGCCAAGTATAATAAAGCAAACCAGTCCTACCATAATTTGTCTTTAATAACAATGTGAAACACTTGAGAGAAAAATTATTTTTCAAAACTATAGTACACCTGTTATTCAATTCTAGTTTTGCCTAATGTTTTCTCAATTTTTATTATTTTCTACAGTTTGAACTGAATTCCAATTTTTCTTAGCTACAAGTCTTCAAAATAATGTTTTCAATCTTTTTTCTTCTTTTTTTCCATTTTTCTTAATTTGGACTAAAACTAAGCTGTGCTTTCTTAAATCCCTGTGAACTGAAGCCAAACAACTTAAATTTCAGAAGAAAATAACAGCAACCCTCTTATATATGTAAGCCACTTTCATACCTGCCTACTAATGTATTGCCTTCAGAGTAATGTGCCCTATATTATTTTTCCAGAATTGTTCTTTTGTTTGTTGTTGTTTTTCTCACTTCTCACATTTTCTCTTCATAGGACAGGAGACTTCAACATGCTAAAAATGAGCTTTCAGGACCTACCTGTTGAGGAATAAACCGTCCTACTCATGAAAGATCAGATGAAACCTGAGACTACAAACTCATTTTCTTGTAAAATGCTTTCTTCAACAGATTTTTAAAAAGAAAAAAGGGGAAATGTGTGGGTCAAGATGGCCAAAGGGAGACCTATGTTAATTCTAGCTAAATAATTATATGCTTTCTTGGCTCAGAGTACACTGAAGTTTATACACCGAACTCAACTATATCACTGGTGCAATTAATTGGAAGTCAAGTGGCAACAGGAAGCCTAAGGTAAAGACCATCCAAGAGAGTTCCCAGCTCCACCTGCCGTCGCTCCAGCCTGTGTAGTTGCAGCCCTGGCTGCCTCCCGCCAGCTCGCCTTGGGGAAAAGGAGCGCGAGCTCGGGCATTTGCGTCCCAGCCTCTCCCTGAGCCATGAACTCCAACTGCGCCCAGTGTGGCAAGATCGTGTATCCCATGGAGAAGATGGACTGTCTGGATAAGTTCTGGCACAAAGCATGCTTCCATTGCAAGACCTGCAAGATGACGCTGAACATGAAGAACTACAAGGGCTACAAGAAGAAGCCCTACTGCAATGCACACTACCCCAAGCGGTCCTTCACCATGGTGGCCAACACCCCGGAAAACCTTTGCCTCAAGCAACAGAGTGAGCTCCAGAGTCAGGTGCACTACAAGGAGGAGTTTGAGAAGAACAAGGGCAAAGGCTTCAGCGTGGTCGCGGACATGCCTGAGCTCCAGAGAATCAAGACCCAGGACCAGATCAGTAACATAAAATACCATGAAGAGTTTGAGAAGAGCTGCATGGGCCCTAGCGGGGGTGAGGGCATGGAGCCAGAGTGCTAGGACTCCCAGGACAGCAGCAGCTACCGGCAGCCCCTGGAGCAGCAGCAGCCCCACCACGTCCCAACCAGTGCCCCGGTTTACTAGCAGTCCCAGCAGCAGCCAACGGCCCAGTCCTATGGGAGCTACAAGGAGCCTGCAGCCCCAGTCTCCGTACAGCGCAGCGCTCCAGGTGGCGGCAGGAAGTGGTACGGCGCGGTGTATGACTACAGCGCCTCCGGCGAGGACGACGACGAAGACGAGGTCTCCTTCCAGGACAGGGACACCATCGTCAACGTGCAGCAGGTCGACCACGGCTGGATGTACAAGACGGTGGAGTGCACCGGCGACATGGGGATGCTGCTGGCCAACTACGTGGAGGCCATCTGAGCCCAAGGCGCACCCCACCTGTCTTCAGCGCATTCCACGGCATCACATTCATCCTGGGCGTGCCCTGTCCATTCTTCAGTGTCTCTGTTTTTTAAAACCTGCAACAGCTTGTGATTCCTACCCCTCCTCCAGCTTCTTTTGCCAGCTGAAGCCTTCTGCCACTTCCGTGGGCTCCCTCCTCTGGCAGGCTTCACCCTTGACTGACTTCTTTATTTTCTCTCTGGATGGAACAGGCCTGGGACTCTCTAGGGGAGGGCGAGACCTGTGGGCCCCTGGGCCTCGCCTGCCTCTCTGTTCTCTCCCTTCATGTCCTCCTGCCCAGCTCCTCACACACCCACACATTATAGGGCTGGGGTGAGCCTGAGACTCCCAGGACCCCAGGGCAGGGGCTCCCCACGTTCCCCAGAGTGGGATCTGCGTGTCAGCTCCTGCGATGATGACAGGTGCTCCTTCGTTGTGTAGGGACCAGTGCGATGGGCTCTACCTCTCCTTCTCAAAGAGGGGGCTGCTGCCCACCCTGGGTCTCTCCCCACCTTCTCCCTCCTTGGGGGCAGCAGCGGGAGAATGGGATCCCTGCTGCGAGGCACGTTCCTCCCCTCCCGGCGCGTTCCTTCTCACACTGTGATTTTGCCCGCCCACCAAAGCAGGCCCGTACTGGGCAAAGAGATCCCCAGGAAGCACAGCTTGGGTGAGGTTCTTGCCTTCCTTAATTTTAGGGACAGCAACCAGAAGGAGGGGAACAGGGAGTTCTCCCCGCAGCCCCATTCCCCACACCCACCCCCAGTCTCCAGGGAGCCCTGCCTGCCTCCCAGGCTAGAAGCCTTGGTCCCGAGGTGTGGGGCAAGGGTGCCTTCGTGCCATTTGGTCTTCCGCCTCCCTCAGCCCCTAGGATCTGGGTTAGGCAGCCACTCCTGCCTGCTTCTCATCAGAAGATGTCTCAGAGCCTTCCATGGCCTCCCCTCCTCAGTGCAATGCCAAGTGGACTTGGACCTGCATAAAGCCAGCAGGGACCACTGTATCTCCAAGATCTGGTGTGTGGAGGCAGGATCGTGTATGTCTGCAGGTGTCTGACAGGCAAGTGTGTGAGTGTGAGCATGAGAGATGGGCAGGGGCATGTCTGTAGATGTCTCTGGGCCTGTGTGTGGTTGGGAGTACGTGCGTAACAAAGAGCCGTCCTCCCCTGAGAGTTTTCTCATAACCCACAGTGAAAGGGGAGGGCTCCTGGGGAAGAGAAGTTCCTCTTTCCCCTTATCTTGGAGTGGAGGCAGCCCACCAGTCTGCCCTTTACAGCATGCAGGGTGAAAGGTGAGGGGTTGGCATTGAGTTGGTGGGGCTGCCGCTGGGTCTACTGCCTGCTGGGGCTGAGACTGGGGGAAGGCTCTGTCACTCCAGACATATTTTTCCCCATCTCTGTGTCTGGGCTGCAGAATAGGGTGCTGCCAGAAGGACCCTGTGTCAGCCACAGTATGACGGTCTCCCTCTGGGGGCTCTTCCCCTAGACCCCCCTCACTTACATAAAGCTTCCTTGCAGTAAGAAAGAGGGTCCCAGGGCTGCAAAACTGGAAGCACAGCCTCCGGGCCAGGGAGGCAAAGGTGGTCCTCTGTCCAGCTCCTGCTCTCTGCTCAGGGGTGGCTGCAACAACCCTGGCCTCACTCGTTTCATCTCTGGTTTTCTTGCCACCCCGTGGAAGTCCCCATCCCATCTTCACCTTGAGCCCAGCCAGGTCCCCCTGCCATTGGCCTCTTGTCCCTTCACACTTGTACCCACAGGTGAGGGGCAGGACCTGCAGCTATTGACCTGTTCAACAGTTAGTCATCATGGGTGTTTGTCGAATGCTTGTGAATTGATTTGGGGATACGGGCCCCACATCAGAGGTTGAGGAAAAGACAGTGGGTGAGGAGGCCCTGCCTAACCAGTCCCTTTTCCTTTCTTGGCCTGTCTAGGTGGAGGCAAGTGGAATATCTTATCTTGGGCAGTGTGGGGGCTGGGGGAGGCAGAGAATCCCTTGGGAGTCTTGGGTGGCACTGGTGCATTCTGTTTCCTCTTGATCTCAAAGCACGATGTGGATTTGGAGACCAAAAACCAGGGACACATCCCCTTAGAGGACCTGAGTTTGGGAGAGGGGTGAGTGCAGGGGAGAAGCAGCAAAAAGCAGCCTGTTGTCACTCAGCTTAATTCTCCTTCCCAGACAAGGCGAGTTAGTCATGGAATCTTGCTGCAGGCCCACCCTCTACTCTTCCTGTCCTAAAAATAGGGGCTGTCTTCTTACACACCCCCAGAGAGAGGAGGGACCGTCACACTGGTGCTGAGGGACCCAGGGGCTGCTGGATGCCTGCTACTTACCAGAATCATCCATCCCTAGTATAGCACAGAGCCCCGAGGGCCCGGCTGGGCTGGGATGGGCTGGGCTGGGCTGGGCCCCTGGTCTTCTCTACAGTTCACAGAGCTCTTTCCACCCATCTAATCCTAGGAGAGATGCATCCAAGCCAGAATGTGAATATAACTTTTGTGGACCAATCATAACAATAACCAGAAGCCTGGTGGTGACAGAGTGCTTTCTCCCAGCACCGCCTTCTGTTTCCTCCCTCTCATTTTCCTCCAGGGAAAATGGCTTTATTGCTTAATTTCTGCCTTTCCCTCCTCACCAGTGCACTTTTGGGCTTTTTTTATAGCTGGAAAAAAAACAAAATACCACCCCACAAACCTGTATTCAAAAAGAAACAGAAATGACCAAGTGAAATTTGCCTCTGTCCAGACATGTCATCAGTGTGTGTGTGTGTCTGCGTGTGTGTGTGCAAAGCCACATTCATCTTTTTATATGGGGGTGTTGTTTCATTTCAGTCTGTGTTGGTCCCCTCCCTTGTGGGCTTGTGCTCGGGATCAAACCTTTCTGCCCTGTTATGATTCTGAACATTTGACTTGAACCGCAAGTGAATCTTTCTCCTGGTGACTCAAATAAAAGTATAATTTTTACCAGCACTTTGGGAGGCCGAGGCAGGTGGATCACAAGGTCAAGAGATCGAGACCATCCTGGTCAACAAGGTGAAACCCTGTCTCTGCTAAAAATACAAAAATTAGCTGGGCATGTTGGTGCGCACTGTAGTCCCAGCTACTCCGGAGGCTGAGGCAGAAGAATTGCCTGAACCCAGGAGGCGGAGGTTGCGGTGAGCCGACATCGTGCCATTGCACTCCAGCCTGGGTAACAAGAGCGAAACTCCTTCTCAAAAAGAAAAAAAAAATAGCTCTCTTGGTCATTTTGTTTTATTTTAACCAGATTTTTCTAACTGAACATACCAGCAAATCAGTTTAGGCATCTCAAAGAGACCCCATTTTGACCATTGTGACTTGCGTTCTCCATGAGTTATGTAGGAGAGTTTTTCTAAATATATACATGAAGAGCCACTATTGTCTATGAATCCAGCTGGAGTTTTTAAAGGGGGATCACTCCTTTAGAAATATATTTTCCCATAATGTAGGTTTTCCTTTTGAATGACCAAAAAAACCCTTTGGGAGGAATTTTGGTCAATCAAGAAGAAAGTTTTGATTTGTCAATTGAACTTGTTACAGGTTTAATAGGCATGAGTGGGGCAGGAAAAGGCTTTTCTTCCCCTACCCACTAAGAATGTCATATGATGGTTCGACAATCATCACACTGCCCCTCTAAAAATGATAACTCAGCAGATGATGCCAAAGTGCCAGGGATAGTCGATCTCCTGATAATCCAGAGCTGTTAACTTTAAAGTGTTAACTGAATGCAGATGCCAGGGAGAAGCAACTTCCTAAGCCTGTGCCTTAAAAGACAAAATGATGAAGTATGACCTCTGGGGAATTTCCATCAGAAAAGGGATGAAGTCCTCAGATGTGCATGCATACAACTTCCTAAACACATTGCACATGCTCAGTTCTCAAGGGTAAGGTGTGCATTGCATGGAACAGCCTACCTTAAGAGAAGAATCATCGGGAAGAGGCGAGCCTATAAAGTCCAAGGATCAAGGTTACACACAGCACTTGTTCTTCAAGTCACCCACTTGGGTCTCTTCCAAGTGTTCCTTCTTTTCTTTTCTATTCTAAAGCCTTTTTAAATTAACTTCCACTCCTCCTCTGAAAGTCACCTCAGGCTCTTGTGCCTTATGACCTTCATATGAATTCTTTCTTATGAAAAGGCAAGAACTGAAGGTGCAGCAGACCTGTGTGAATTCACTGCCAATAACTTGGACACCTTCCACTAGTAACAAACTGAGTTTCAGAATCTGGCCAGTTTTAAAGATTACTTTTGGTGGAGTCTTTTGTTAGACTGTTAAGCTACAAAGATTTCACTTTCTCCTTTGGAAAAAAAATTGTTTTCTCCTTGACCAAATTTTAAACAGAAGATTGCAAGCTCTAACAAGAAAGGCAAACAAAACCTTAACCTCAGAGAAAAGTGAAAATCACAAATCTTCAGTCCCCAGAATCTCTGGAAAATAATAAACAAAACTTTTACCTTAAACCTTAAAGTAGATCTTCAATTTCAGCCCCATCGAGTGTGGAACTGGATTTGAACAAAGTCTGAATCTCAACCCAAAAATCAGAGAGGCTCACAATCCAAAAGGACACTCTGAAGAGGCCAGGGGAGGCTCAGCAAGGTGGGTAAATAAACATGTGTTTGTGTGGGTACCAAGGTCTTGATGGTGAAATGGAGGAATCTCTGGAAGTTCATTTTGGACCCTCTTGTGGTTACCAAAATGTTAACCTAAAATAATCAAGAATGTTTATTTGTTCAAGTTTTTTTTTTTCAAGAGAGTTTATTCAAGCACAAAGATTAAGGATAGCCACCCTGGAGTAGAGATTGAATGATTCAACTTGAATGATTTCAAATTCAAATCATAATTTGTGTGATACAAATTATACCCTCCAATTAGCAATAGCTACAAGGGAATTTTTAAGAAAAAAAACAAGAGGCAGCTCCCAAATTGTCTACCAAAAATAACAGAAGTTATTGATTGCCTGTACATTGTTCTTT